ACATCCTACCAGCTCTAATATCTGCAAGCCGTCGCTGGCGCCGGGCATCACCTTTCATTAGGGTTGTGTTATAGATGTTACAATCTTATAGCACATATAATTTTACTAGAGAGAAGTTTCATATGTGCACATAATTTCAAATTTTGCGCATTAATGCACATGATTCCAAATCATATGTATTAATGCGCAGGATTTGAAAAATAAGTAAAATGCGCATTCATGCACATAATGCCATAATGCCATTTTGTCATATTTCTAAATTTTATAAATCAGATTTTATGTAACTTTCATCACATTATGTATAAAGTACATATCAGCTTTACGAAAAGTTGATATATGATTAAAATTACATGAAAACTGGTTTACTACAAAATTATGATAATTTTATAACTTTACCTTCCATCACAACATATAATTCATAGATCAGAACATCACTACGTCGGTTTACTTTTCCTTCGAAATTACTATACTTGAGACGTCTATGCCATGCTTCCAGCAAGTTGGTAGTATTAATATTCATATGTGGAACATCTGTTCGGTATGCATTCATCCACATAGTTTTTTTCACTCCAGAAAAATTATCATATTCATTTACGTTTAACCAGGTTTGCTTAAAGTAGGTGATAAAAGCTATGGAATCTTTCCATTTTTCTAAAAAAGATATTAACGCTTCTTCAGCAATGTTGATATTATCAGCATACATAAGAAACTTTAAATCATCAAGAAGTTCTTCTTTTAATTTTTTTTTTCTTCAGATCCTAAAACTGTTTTTTTTTTTTTGTAAATTTTATTAGCATTTTCTCTCCATGCTCTTGACACATGAAACCAACATAGCATAATTTTACTTTCTGGAAATTCCAATTTAAGAGCTTTAATTTGGGCCGGATCACAATCAACAAAAAATGCTAAAGGGCCTTGCCAATTAGGAAATTGGTTACGAAGATTACAAAACCAATATTGTACTGATTCTGTATTTTTGCGTGAGGATATTAAATGAGCAAGTGTGATTCCTTTTCCTGTTTGTGGATCACGTGAGAGAAAAGTATATAAAAGATCCTTATGTTTGTTTATACTATGGGTTGAGTCTAAAAGAATAATAGTAGCTTCGTGAAGAACTTCTTTTCCAAGAGGGGTTGTAAATCCAAAGAGCCTACCCTTGTTATTTTCTTGTTGTGGAATTATACATGTAAGATCACTATTTTTTTCAATTTCTAGTCTCCAAAGTTCTATACTTTGTTGTTCTGATTTATGTTTAATTTGTTCTTCTAATGCAACATCTTTCCATATATTATAA